AAGACCAGCAATGCAGATCCTCTAGCAGGACTCGTTTATAACTCTGGCCCAGCTTCTGAATGTCAGATATCATACTATGTATCTTGTGAGTACCTACAATGCTTCAAGTTGGGCTTTCCCACTTTAAGTTTATGCGCTTTCTGTCTTACCTCATACCATGGTGCTTGAGGCTCCAACATGGTGGCATGGATCATAGCTTTCATAATCCCACCTTATTTTATGCGCTTTCGTGCAATCTGCAGGGACTCTGAGGGTACACTGAGCAGTTTCAAGAATTTTGTGAGATTAGGGAATGTTCTGTCTTAGTGCCTTTAGAGAACTGTGATACTTCAGTCTCACAAGTGGACACCATTCATTGAGAGTCAGTTAACAGGTTAGTATTTAATACCTGTTAGGCTCTGTGGAAGGCGGGAATTCATTCTGAAAGAAGCTTAAACGCGGGTAGGGAGAGGAGTGAAATGGCCATTACTAAATAATGTAATGTCTACTATAATCTTGGTTGAGTAGGACTAGAAGGGGGCAGATGAAATGTGGGGAGTGGCAGGAGATGTGGGCCTGAAAGAAAACAGCTAGAGTTAGATACAAGGGTATAGAAAGGACCCGCCAGCAGTCTTCTCTGTGACAACTTAGCAAGACCCGGAGGCAAAGACAGTTTTGGATTTGACTCTCATAAGTTGGTGAGCAAGAGAAAAGTCAGGACACTTTCCAGTTGGAAAGTACTTTTGGTTCTGAAGTCCAAATAGTTGATGCAGCTCTAGCTTGTTAGCCATTCGTTGGAAACCAGTCCCTGCGTCCTAGGCCAAGCTTGGAAGGCAGGCACACGTCTCATGTATCTTTCCTGGGGGGTGGTTTGAGGGGGGTGCGCCTCTGCACCTTCTGTTCTTTACCCTCCTTCCCAGGCTCTTGTGCCTACTCACTCTTCCCTCCCAAGGAGAAAAACTCACTGCTTGTTCTGCCACAGTAGCCAAGGTTACATCTGTTCTAATGTAGTGGATATCTATGCCGATGGAAACAGGCTAAGGAACTACAAAGAAAGTCTCTCGATCCCATTTCAAGGCCAGGTCACAAACATGTAGCGTTTGGGGCCTTCTGGATACGTTATCCTCATGTTGTTTTCATCCTTAGGATATGAATGGTCCAAATTCTGGTGATCAGGCCAGGCTAGTAGGACAGATACTTTTGTGGAGTGTTATCTTCAAGTAAGGCCAGCAGCCCTTGCAGTATTTTGAAACCTAAGAATAGGTGACGGAGGAGCCATGAAACACAGCTGGGAACTGAAAGCAACGAATGATCAGTGAGTCTTCCTAGACCAACCAAGGACTGAAATTGTTTTCCAGTCTTTAACTGGGTCCTCCCTGGCATGGGACGGGAAATGGAGAAGAGGAATCCCATTTATTAAATAGTAACACGTTATCTGCCTTCTGCACGTGACCCAGATGTCAGCTTCACCCCCCCCCCCACCTCTTTTTTTTGCTAAAGTTACCTCTACTGCCCTGGGGGAAAGGAGATCTGCTTAAAGAGAAGAGCCAGAGCATACTGACTCAGTTCCTCCTTCCAGCTACTCCATTCACCAGGAACTCCCAGAACTAAGCCTCTGTCAGAATTGCTGTCATCTGGTTGGGGACATCCTGTCTTTACAAATCCTCTCACTGCACTGTCACTGGGCAAAACTGTCACACTTGAAAGTCTGAGAAGATGAAACGGGTTTACATTAAACTTACAACTCAGAATTGAGTGTCCTGCCCCCAGGAATTTGTTACTAGCCCCCTTTCCTGCAAAACTTCCTCCCTAAATGCAGCCCTCCTTTTTACCTACCACCCACGCCCCAGTGCCAAAAAAAAAAAAAGCACTTTTCCTTTTTAATGTATTTTCTCCTTTTCAGGCTCACCTATAGGCATCTTCTTTTTAGCCACCTTATTTTATATTTTGAGTCTAGGAGAAAAACCATGGAAGATGACAGAGGTTAGCCCATGATGGTAACATTTACAAACTTGCCTCAACTGTTCTGTGTTTAAATCTCAACTGTTTCCTTTCCATTTTACTTTGTATAAAATAACGCAGTATGGCTTGTGCTGAGGCAAAATTTACAAACACCTACAACGTGCAGGGCTAGGAGGGAATGGACGCTCTCCTAGGGCGGTGATCCTTATTTTTTTCGCTGCCACGTGCCTGGAGCCTCGAAGGGTGCCTGGGAACAGACGCTGTTTGGTGTTTGTTGAATGAAAGAATGAGGAAAACATGCACCTAAAACCCACAAAGAACCAGCAGAATATCTGGGGAAGGGCAAGTCCTCCAGTTTGGGGGAATCCTCAACATGTATAGCAAGGGGACGAGCATGTGGGGGCATATAATGGACGGAAATTTCTGGGTGCCTTACATTCAATTTTCAAGTCTTTAAAAATACATTTTTACAAAGTTCATGCCATGAATTCCTTTTAAAAGTTTTCTCTTGAGTGTCAGTTTTTAATCAATCCATGATAAAGTACAGTTGACCCTCATCGAAGATCATGTATTTGCAAACTGGCCTCCTCTTAAAATTCTATTTCTAACCTCTCTGTGTTCATTCTTGGGTATGCACCGAGTGGCGAAAAAGGGGTCAAACAAGGCCAGATAGGATCTGCCCTCTAGTTTCAGCTGTCATACTCTTAAGAAAGAGGCCTTTACATTTCTGTGTTTTGTCGATGATTTCACTGTTTAAAATGGCCCCCCAGCACAGTACTGAAGTGAGGTCTTGGGTTCCTAAGTACAAGAAGGCAGTGATGTTCCTTATGGAGAAAATATGTGTGCTAGCTAAGCTTCCTTCAAGCATGAGATATATACAACAATCTATAAAGAGCCACTGAAGGGGGACACCTGGGTGGCTCAGGTGGTAGAGCACGTGACTCAATCTCAGGATCTCGAGTTCAAGCTCCTTGTTGGATGTGGAGCCTACTTTAAAAAAAAAAAAAAAAAAAAAAAAAAAAAAAAAGAGCCGCTGAGCTTTTTGTGCAGGGAAGTGACATGATCAAATTTCCATTGCAGCACTTTGGCAGCAGTGTAGACAATGACTTGGGGGACAAGGAGATAGTAGCGGAAACAAAAGAGCAACATAACAGCAAGGCTAAGAAGGGGCTTGGAGTGCTGGTTAAAAGAAGCCAGAGGGAAGAGGCTAGGCTCACCCTCCGGCTTCTGTCATGGGTATGAAAAGACAATAGGATCATGTCAATCACCATCCCCGACCCTGGAAAGGACACAGTGGGGGAAAAGAAAATTGGGCTGCTTCATTAGACAGCGGGCCAAACACCTTCAGGTTCAAGATCAGCACAACTCATTTGTCAGTTTCACCGTAAGATCTAAGAATTTTCTTCAAAAACAAGTGGGTTTGTGGTTTATAAAGGTTTCCTTCCATATTGGCAGACTAGGTAAGTGCAAACCAATGCTCCCTCTGAAAACTACTAGAAAAGGGATTCAAACTAATATTTAAAATAAAAATCTGCTCGAAGGCACTGGAGAACTAATAAGGCATGTGATATTATGGGGCCAATGCCAAGATCTGAACCCACAGAAGTGAGCCTAGTATTTGGGCGTCAGTTTTCCCCATGGAGTATCTTCAAATTGTCGAAAACATAGCTGCAGTGCTGAGGAACTAGAAACAATTTGAAAGACCTCTTGAGGGAAAAGGGACAAAAACCAGAACCCAGGGCCTTCCAAGAAAGGGGAGCCCTAGATAAACACCCATTTGGACTGGGACCCCCGAAGGGTGACACTGTGACAATAAGGGAACTGGAAGCCTGCAGTCACTGAGGCCGATTCAGTCTCTGTTTTAATGCGATTTGCGGCTTCGAGCACCCTGCTGCCTGCCAGAAGCAAAAGTAAATCCTGTCTGGAAGAAAACACCATTCAGAGCAGGGGTCAACAAACTCTCTGAAAGACAAGGCAGTAAATATTTTAGGCTTTGTTGGCCAGATGGTCTTTGACACATTGGCTTTGCTGTATTGCAAAAGCAGCCTTGGACGAGAAAATGAATAACCATGGCTGTGTTCCATAAAAGTTATGTACACACACTGAAATGTGAATTGCATAATATTCACGTTACAAATATTCTTCTGATTAATAAAAAAACATTTAAAAAGGTAAAAGCCTTTTAAACCTGGCTGGCTCAGAGGCTTTAAACTTGCAGACCCCTGATGTAGAGTTTTAAGATCTTTCTACAATTTTTCATAGAAACCAAAAACACAAACATAACTTTAAAACATCCTATTAAAAATATATTCTAGGAGCGCCTGGGTGGCTCAGTCAGTTAAGACACTGACTCTTGATTTTGGCTCAGGTCATGAGCTCACAGTTCGTGCGATGGAACCCTGCCACATGTTGGTCTCTGAGCTGGGCACGGAGCCTTCTTAAGATTCTCAGTCTCTCAGTCTCTGTCTCTGTCTCTCTCTCCCCCCTCCTCCTCTGTCCCTCCTCCACTTGTGTGC